GAGCTAACGAAGCGTACGCAGTCGCCTCCGTTCTCTCTGCCCGCAAAGGGCGCTGCCGCCGACCAATGCCGACGCGCCCCACCGAGACCTGCGCAGCGTACCGCACCGAGTTCGATGTCCCGCTCTTGGAGATTCGATGACATTACGGTGTGAGGACAAGCTCGACCGGCGGAAGCTAGGCAGATGTCCCCCGCGCCGTGGATCGGCCCGTGCCGCCTGTTGGCTCCACTCCGAGCTTTCCTCCGCCGGAGCGATCAAGAACCCCCCATCTTCCTCCACGACACCCTACCTCTCGTAGTTTCCTAAATTTGGTCGGTCTGCTTGTCATGCCCCTCCCCTTGGTCCGTAGGGCCGATCTCCCTGTCCCGTCCAGACCAGTCACAAAATGCCGCACGTATCGACTACGTCAATGCAGAGATACCAGGAGGCGTCAGCAAGCAATTTCTACGCACCCAGTATGACAAAGCCCGACGCATTGAGAAGGGGCGTAAGGGGTCCTCTTTCAAGTTACACTTTTTTGCAAACAGCATACCTGGCAGTCCGGAGTGCGTCCCATAGCAGATGGGTATCCACATCGCTTGGACGAGAAGGCGGCTCGAGGAGGCATCGGGGAACGTGGACTGCGTCGGTTTTGAGACCGTCGCCTACACTAGCATTTCGAATCAACTCGATTGTCGAGCTTCGGGGTGCGGCAGGACCAACCCTCCCCGCGTTGGAGCAAGTGTCTGCCGCCACCGCAATGGACAGGCCGGAAGCCTGTCTGCCAGCTCCTCGATGGCCCGGAAGCGGGAGCACACCACCGCGGCAGCGCCGACTCGCGACTCGTTCCCCCTCACAGCTTTGCTATGCAAATGAATAAATTAAATTAAATGGGGATGGCGCAGTTGGTATGTGCTGCGCCCTTCCAAGGGATGTCGATGCGGCCGGTTTCGCCAAGACGTGGACGCTGTAGAAGATCGCTGAGGGATCTGTAGCTGACATCCAAATCTAAGGCGTCCATCTGAATCGCCCGGGCAATCACGAGGCTTGCCGAATCGAGGAGGGGAAACGGCACGAGAGTGGTAGAGTGGGCGACGCTGTTGACAGGCGATAGGGGATACACCTCGTCAGTCCTTGGCCTCCTATCTGCTAATGGATGTAGCTACTTACGATGTGTTCTTCCTGTATTTGACGGTCTTCTCGGCCTCCTTGATCTTGTTCCGATCAATCCTGTATGTAACAATGGGCTTCACTAGGGTCGGATCATCGGGATCGCGCACGATAGATATAGTGAACTGCTTGTACAGGGTATCTTCAAGGCAGCCTGGACAAAAACCGCCGGTACCCAGTTGAAGGATCGCGTGGTGGACCGACACCCTCGTAAGTGGCGTAGCGGGTATATCATCAGCACGCTGATACAGCGCTGTAAGAATGACGATAATGTCTGCTGCTATTGCCTCGACCTTCTCGTACGACGAGCCCATCTCCAACCCGAGCGTTGGGGTTAATGTCTGGCGAATCCACTAGCCAGGCACTAGTCAGTAAAGCATACCAATAGTAGGAACGTAGAATGGGACGAGGGAAGGCGTAGAGGAAGTATCCTCAATGATATACAAGGTAATCCAAGTTCTGTACAAGGGGAGGGAAGTAATAGAGTCGTTTCAGCCGCACATACCCTGACAATTGAATAGGCGGGTCCCTCGCGTTTCTCGCCTTCTTGCTCCCACATTAGCACAAGCCGGCCGGCCTTCTGGGCTTGACCATTCCTTCGCAGCGCAGCCCGCTCAACGTGGAGGACATTGAAATCGGCCGCTGCGACGAGCCTCCGCCAAACCTCAATGACGCTATAAGCGGAGTTGACCGTGCGGACCATGGCGCGCTCCTCAGGCCCTAGCACGACACGTTCCTTGTAGGAGCTTTCCACATATTTATGTAGAAAGGTCTGGATCGGTGCCAGAACGTTTGGGTTTGATGGATCCTGGGCGAAGTCCACCCAGAAGCGGCAGGAGTCGAAACCACTACGGCTTCACTTAGTTAGCATCAGTTTTAGGGCCCGATGGTGAGCCGCATACACCCGAAGAGCGCCATACCTGTCTATTGCAGCTTCTTTCTTCCTAGTAAGTTCACAGAAACTTCAAGAAATGATGGAAATTAGCAACACATCAGCACGTTCGTCCCAGGCTTTATGTCGAGATTTGTTTGGGTTAAAGAAGCCTGGGAAGGAGGGGAAGAAGACATACTCGGTCCAGGCTACCCATATTCTATCGCGCTGCGCCTTTGTGCCCGGAGCAACGAAGGGCTTCTCATTACCCTCCTCCTCGATGGCACTGACCGTATAAGCCTGGAGGAGCGTATTGACGCTCTCCTGGTCCACCCTGGAGAAGCGCGACTGTCGTTGTGCCGTCATGGTGAGTTGAGAAGTGCGTTAGGAGTAGGAATAACGACGAGAAGGTGAGGAGGAAGAGAGTTCAGGGGCTTGAGGGGAGAGGAGGGAGGCCACGACAGCATGAGCGAGCCAAGGCTAGCAAGGCCAGCAAGGCCAGTACCGAGGCTCGAGGGTCGGGCGCAGTTGGTTCGCGTCCCCGAACCGGGAACGGGATCCTGGCGCCAAAATTGCACCGCCATCGCGAATGCGCGGGGTGCGAGCTGAGGGACCTAATGGGGTGTGAATGAAGTAGAATGGGCGACGCCTTCCGGCCTCCGTCGCCGGCGCCGTTTGCTGCCGTTACGGAGCCGGCCCCACTCCGGGAACGTGAACGCGTTCTTGGCCGGCAAAACTTCGGGAAAGGATCTGGCCCGTGCTTGCTGAGTCATCAATTGCAGTTGTGCGAAAGGCAAGGTTTTGCGTGGGAAAACGGGACGTAAGATGCCTTAGGTACCTGTAGGACATTGAAGGTACTACCTACCCTACTGTAGTACCTAGGTACTAGTAATCAACGCCCCTGGGAGTCTCCCAATTGTGGACAGTAGGTAAACATATGACTAGGTAGGCACCTACTCTTATCATACCGGACATCCTCCCCTGTCCATACCTAGGTACCTTAATCAGGTAGTATGTAGTCCGCAAAAAGTCCACTGTACCGGGAATGCCGGGCAAATCTGATAGCTGGGTAGCAAAACTCATCATAGTTCTCCAGGTTGCGCATTTACGTCGCGGCGGCATGAATCTACCCGTCTTACAGCTCGATCAACGTAAACGTGACAGAATACAGGGATTTTGGCTGAGGTCACCTCTGTTATATGTAACCCTGACTCGATGGAGTTCCAGAGCTCCATAGGGAGAGCAACCTTTCAATGACACTAAAGTTGACTAAACCTGTGTATGCCAGGAATGGAAATGGGGCACGTGTCCCAGTTGCTCGCATGTAGTTAAGCTAAGGCAAGGGACTTACCCCTGATGCAACCCTATAACAGGCAGGTGGAATCCGTAGTATACTGTACTCAGGTATACTATTTACGACTTAGACATTGAAAATGCCTCCAAGAATGCGGGGATTATCTGTTAGTGTCTCTTTCATTGAGGGTGAAGTGCTGCGATGGAAAAGCCGAAGGTGAAAGTCTCTTACACCGAGGCCGGAGTTGACTGGCCGTCCCCGGAACGCAAAGACTTTGCAAAGTTCACCGATATACGGGCCAGCAACTATTTATTCTGTCGTACACCCAGGAAAGCAGTTCCCAGTGAAACAACCCTCCAAGTCATCCACCACAGAACTCCCAGGACGACCTTGGAATTCTGTCTCCACGGTCCTCTCTGACCTCGACCCTCGTTTTGCCTTGACTCGCTTGCCACCCCCAAAATGAGGTTCACCTCAACTGTCCTGGCCGTGGCCGCGGCCATCTTGGTTCCCGCAACCATGGTTGTAGCCCAGGACCCCAACAACTGCAACACGGAGGAAAAGAAACGCGACGGCGCCGACTTTGTCCTGACGGAACAGAAAGCGTACGACCTCAGCAAACTGTCCAGCTACTTTAGCTCCAACGGCAAAAAGGTCAAGGTCTCGGACGTGTTTGAAGATGGCAACCACAAGATGACCGAGGACGGGCTCGGCCACAGGATCTGGGAGCGGACGCCCGACTACGATGACCTGACCACGGAGAAATGGATCCCCCAGGGCATCACCACCACCGCCGATGCTTTGGACACGGGCATCTACGAAGGGAAGGACGGCTTTCTCGTCAGCTGGCACCGCGACGATGACAGTGCTGTCAGGGTCACCTTTGTGAACAAGGGTGATAACACCTACCGTCATGCCTTGCTTGTCCAGCCGGATGGCACAGATAACTTCAAAAATGTCCCCATCCACGCGGGAGGCATTTTGTGGTACGGCTCCACGCTGTGGGTGGTAGACACGAGCAACGGCCTCCGCGTTTTCGACATGTCGAATATCTGGCAAGTTGGGTCCGGCGACGGGGTTGGCAAGACCTCGAGCGGCGGATACTCGGCGGCTGGTTACAAATATGTTATTCCCCAGCTGAGGTGTGTGAACAGCCACTTCTGTGTCTAACGTTAACTGCTGATCTGCTAACTCTTCCCATCAGGTCTTATAAGTGGACATCCAGCTTCCCCTTCCGCTTCTCCTTCGTCAGCCTGGACCGCACCTCCACCCCCGACAGCATCCTCGTCGGCGAATACCAGAGAGATTCAGACACCGCGCCCGTGCGCATGGTACAGTGGAACATCAACGCCACGGACCGCCGGCTCCGGGACCTGGACTCGCAGGGGCGCGCCAAGGGCATCTGGGCCTACTGTGTCAACATCGACCGCATGCAGGGCGCGGTCCAAGCCAACAAGAAGATCTACATCACCAGGGACAACATCAACGACCCCGGCGACATGTTTGGGTGGATCCCGGGACAGATTGCCTACCAGAACCGGTACTTTACCACCGAGAAGCCTGAGGATTTGAGCTATGACAAGAGAGGCCCCTGGTTGTACACGGTCACCGAGCTGGCGGGGAGGAGATACATCTCGACTTTTGATCCCGCTCAGGTCAAGTTCTCGTGAGAAGAGAAAGGGCTTGTGAGATGGTATCACGACCCGGGCTGCATTGATGGTACTTAGTGCTTGGACAGTGCAGGATACCTTACTTTATGCATCATATTCCATCTCTGTATCTAGGTGAGTTATACTCAGACGTATATACAAAGAGCCATTGGGGGGATACCTTACGATAACCCCCAAACATGAAATCATTTACAGAGGTGCTTACTAGGAATACCAACCTAGCCCGCCAACGCCACAAGTGTATGTACAGCACCCCCACTGCAGAGGTACAGCCTCGCTGGCTGCCTAGGTACCTTAGATAGCAGGTGCCTACCTAGGTAGTCTGCCGTGTCCTGACTAAGGTACCCTACATGCAGCTCAGCACAGTCAATCAAGAACAGCCGCCCTTCATCCCCCATGAGATGATGAGAACCCACAACCCGGCCGCCAACGGGGATGCATTCTTAACAAGAGGTGTGTCATGCCCACCAATGATTGGACGTAGGTCCATAAAATCACGCATGAAGACGCATCACGCCCTAAGTTATCGTTTGCACAATGCGTCTCTTTGGGCTTAGTGAAGAAGCTCTTCATGTGTGATTCACTGCATGCATGGCCAGACACGGAGCAGGCTGCCATGATGTTCCAACTTAAAGCTCCTTACCTGGTAGTATAAGGTATAATAAGAGCCTCTCTCTCTTGAGACTAGACGACCTGGATAGGACAAGGCCGTCAATACCACACGGTATCATGAATCCAAAGCTCAAGCAGAGTCAAGTACAACCGTCCTGAATTCAAGCATCTCTTGCTACATAACGCCTCCTGAAGCCCCCTGCTGCTGCCTGCGTAAGGCCCCTTCTCTTACTGACCACCCCTTGGATACCACAGCGGGAATCTGTAGGGGGGAGCTATCATTGCAGGGGGGTTGGTATCATAGAAAAAAACCTTTGACTGTCTCTACAACTAGGATAGCACTGTCAACTAGGATAGCAC